TAAAATAAATGTCTAATGTAAAATGTGAAAATATAGAAAATAAAGTATGTATTAAATTGTGAAATAAATTAACCTTGTTGTAAATATCATAATAACTAAAGTTTATGTAGATTATATAAATAAAATAATGTAATTTAAATAAAATGTTTAGTAAAATAATTAAAATATAGAAATTTTATAAAAGTTTTAACATGGTTGAAAAAACGTTGGTGAAAACTAATTACGAATAACATGTGCGCAAGATATATAATATTGCTGTGTATGCGTTGTGAATACAACTATTGCGGTTGAATATGTGTGATACGAGTTTCCACATCAGACCTACGTATACATAGTTAAATATAAATACATATATGTACATGCAAGATACATATCGATGTATAGATCAAATATTAAGTATCACATAATACATCCAACGACGCAATGACAGTTGTCGGATGACGCTGGGTCACAAACTGCGTGTTAATGGGTTGAAATGTATTCAACGTAGAATGATATTCATATCGTTGTGGTACACGCAGATCCTGTGGATTAACCCCAACGGCAACAGAAGGTGTGAGATCGTGGTATTGAGAAAATAATGGGCAAACAATTTCAATGAAATTTGCATTTCTGAAAACCTCGTTCCTAAATATATATATATATATATATATATATATATATTAGGGTGGTCCCCAAAATGAAAAAGTTTTAAATTTTTTGTCTTATCCCCTAATTTTGTTACCACCCATTAGGTAATACTTGGTGTAAAATCTTAGGTCAATTGGTCAATATTTAGAGGTCGCCCAAGGGCTCTGAAGTTTTACCTTATGGGCCTAATAATTAATCCAAATAACTAATACAACGTCTTTGTTTTTTATTAACAGATCTTTGTCTGAAAAAGTAAACAACATGGCTGAGTCAACAAGAAAGAAGCAGGATATTTATCTTCTAGGCCAGCCTCTAAAAACTGCTATTCTGTGTAACAAGTTACCAGCGAAAGGTGAAGTAATGCGTCGCTTTCTGTACATTTATTTGTCAGAGAAAATGCAGTTCGCGATAGTGAGACTGCTGTTATAAGAGAGGTACTTCTAATATGGCAACGGGCCAGAATTCCTACAACTCAAGAATACAACGCCATTAAGAAGCTGGATGATATGTTTAAACTGTGGCAAGGATTAAAGAAACATTCTAAGAGAAACTCAGATGCTCAAAGACGTCAAGAACAAGCATTCGTTCATTCACGAAAAGATCTGTTTGATATAGCACATGCTAATGTTATTGAACTGATTCAGATACAAAAAGACAGAGAATTTTTGCTGGCACAAAGGGAAGCGGGACGGCGTGGTTATATGAGTGGTGTAGATAAGAATCTGGCGCTGAAAGAGGCACGCTCGTATGAAAGGAAAAGAAGACAGGAGAACTACAAATAAAT